AGTAGACACTAGGTGTATGCCCACAGAGACAAATAAGGCCATTTGAGGACCCAGTGAGAAGATGGCCTTCCCAAGCCAAGGAGAGAGGCTTCAGGAGATACCAAACCTGTTGACACTTTCCTCTCGGACTCCCAGCCTCCAGAACTGAGAAAATAAATTTCTATTGTTTAAGCCAATCCTTGTATGACACTTTGTTATGGCAGTTCTAACAGATTAACACAAACATCATTAATGTGTTCTCTTTCCCAAATAAATAGTGAGGCACAACATGCAAAGAGACAGCAGAAACAATTGGTATAATTCTAAAAATGGTACAAAACTTTAAATTAGCTTTAGGAGGGAAGGGAATTTAATATGGAGTTTCCTATTTTGCTTCCACTTGTGCTGCAAACCAAAACTTAGGTCCAATTTGCAAAGTCCCCAAAGAAGCCCAGTAGTGAGAGTCAGACTTTAAAACTCAGAATCACTCTTATTTCCTACAGTGTGTTGTGGGTTACAGCTGTAATGGAGTAACAGGGTCTGACTTACCCTCTTGTTGTCATCAACTGTAAAACTACAAAATACAAGAGAATCCAACACATTCACAGCAACAGCGTTTTCCCTAGACTTTCCCATGAGACCAAAGCACCATTCTCTGGGAAAAAAGCCGTGTTCACCATTCTCATCCTGGTGAATATGCTGTCTCCTTTTACCCTGTTCTCTTCTATTTTATCTTTTTGGATAAGTCTGATTATGAACCCACAACGTGGTCTAATGAACACCTCTGCAAAGTATTTTCAGGCTTACCAAGATTCATCCTTTTGTTATCTTTGGTAGTGACACTCAGCTTTCTGTTTTGCTTTGCCTTCTGGGCAAGGAGAACAAATATTCTAAGTGTAGATCCTGGGCTATAAATTCTCTCTAGAACACCCTACCATTTATTTAATCAACTTTATATATTTGTAGGCTCACATTTATATCATTTCATCTTTCAGAATATTTTGATTCGAAATTGAATTACAGTGATAATAACTCTGCTTCATATTACATGTAGAGTATAAAAACAACAAAGATACTCATAATTATTCAAAACCAATTCTCTAAAATGATATACTGTTATTCACTACAGGTCCAGGGAATTTTATGGTAATATAGAGAATATTCAAGATTTAAGAGTGTAGGTTATAACAGCACTTTAAACGTTAAACTATGTTGACACTTAAAAGATTTATTTGAATTTACAAAGCATAGTGGGGAAAATAGATGTTTCATTTGGAGAGAAAAAAAACCTGGGAATACTCTGAGTTGTAAAGTCTCATATGGAATTTATGACTGAAGGAAGATCAATGTGTTTTTGGTAGTGTGTGATGGGAAGAGTGATGAGAAAAGAAGCAGAGGAAGCAGGTGAAGGCTTCTTTTGCCAGGTATCAGAGGATATCTCAGTGATCAGAATGATCTGAACTTTTTGTAGGGAAGATGATGAGTTTATGAGGGGTTAGTTGGGTGGGATAATAATCAGTGTTATATATGATAACAAGTGTAAGTATTCAAGTGAATTTATTAAACTATATTTTTGCATCATTTAATATTTGTTTTAATTGAAAGTTTGTGTTTGTTTGAAATAGTTCTTAGAAGTGATGCATTTATGAGCGTCCCTCGTGCTGCAGTGGTTAAGAATCCACCTGCCAATGCAGGGGACACAGGTTCGAGGTTTGGCCCAGGAAGATCCCACATGCCTCAGAGCAAATAAGCCGGTTTGCCACAACTACTGAGCCTGCACTCTAGAGCTTGCAAACCACAACTACTGAAGCCTGTGCGCCTAGAGCCCATGCTGCACAAGAGAAGCTAGCGCAATGAGAAGACTGAGCAGTGCAACGAAGAGTAGCTGCTGCTCACCACAACCAGAAAAAAGCCTGTGCACAGCAACGAAGACCCAATGCAGCCAAAAATTTAAAAAATGAAATAAGTAAATTAAAAAAAAAGTGATGCATTTACTGTATTTAATAGGCATATTTTGGAAATTATGCTTTTATAAAGGCAATTTCAGAAATTACTGTGATCTATTGGCAATTGGAGGATACTTTTAAAAGTTGACTATTCTTTTCCTCTTTATTACCCAGCTTTAGTAAACCACTTGCCTTTTATTACCACTAACATATATTAACAGAATACTTTTCATAGGTTGAAGCCCTAACCTACAATGGGATTGTAGTTGGACATAGGTCATTTATAGAGGTAATTAAGGATAAGTGAGATTATAAGAGTGTGGCTGTATTCCATTAAGACTGGTTTCCTTCTGTTGACAAAAACTCAATTAACAATCAAGTTAAGACGAAAAAAGTGAATTTCATTCAAGCCAAACTGAGGATTATCACCCAGGAGACAGACTCTCAGAATCTCTGAGATCTGTTCTGCCATTTAGAAGTTGAAGGCACAATTATTTACATTTTTCAGACAAAGAATTGTACAACAAAATGACATACTGACATTTTACATAAAGTTCATAGGCCAAGTAAACATGTACAAAGAGAGCAGTGAGTCACCATGACCCCCAACAGAGTTTGGAAAGAATGCTAATCTTTTAAGAAGTTCCATTGCTAGCATCAGAAAAAAGGAAAAAAAATTGATCTTTACATTCAAGAAAGCATTCCCATCTTTGAGGAGGACTAGTTAGTGTGTGTAGTGGAATAACTGAGGACATGGAAAGGAGACGTGACCCATGAGCCCCCCCCCCTCAGCAAACTGGGGGCTGGCGAATAAGCCAGAACTGTAAACAGTCCTGAATGCTTTGAGCCCCCCCGACCCCGCCGGCAAACCGGCGGCCTGCGAATAAGAATTGAGTGCTTCGGGCACTGATCCATGAGATGTCCTCAGTATAATCAGAATGGTGGGAACACAAGGAAATGTCCTTGTGCTACTTCAGTATAATCAGAATGGTGGGAACACAAGGCAATGTCCTTGTGCTGCTTTTGCGCTCAAGGACGAAGCACGGCATGTTTTCAAGAAAGCCCATTATTGCTTGTATAATCAATAAAAACATATGTTGCTGCTTTGGCATTTCTGGAATGTTAAGAAAACAAGTCTTAAAATGTAAACATAGATAATGCTTAAATAAAAGCTACCACAGCAGGACAGACGGCGCTGTTTTGCCTGAGTGAGCAGCAGCCCTCTAGGGCTGTGCTTCGGCATCTCGTGTGATGAGCTTACTTTCGGCCCTGTCATAAGAAAAGCTACAACAGTGTGTAATGCAGATGCACACTGCACATTAAGGACGTAGGGAGGCCCAAACTGAAATTTTTATGTTTAAATTTTCTTGTCCTTCCTTAAAATGTAAATTTTGTTTCGTCACTTATAAGAAGAGGGATAGACACCAGGAGTATGCTCACAGGGAGAAAAGGCCATGTGAGGACACAGCACGAAGTGGACTACCCAAAGGTCAAAACAGAGGCCTCAGAAAAAATTAAAACTGTTGACACCTTCCTCTTAGACTTCTAGCATCCAGAGCTACGAGAAAATAAATTTCTGTTATTTAAGCCACCCAGTCCATACTGTTACTGAACCAGTTTCATGTGACCTACGCACAACAAGCCAAACGCTGAGACACTGTGGTTTGCAGCAGAGAAACTGTTTATTCACAAGGCAGCCAAGCAAGGAGAAGGAAGGGCAAATCTCAAATTCATCTCCCCAAAGGCAAGGGGCTAGGAATATTTATGGGATAAAGCTTGGCAGGGGTGAGGGTGGGGATTGAAGATACGGAAAAGGTGCAGTAATTGTCATTCTGCACAGGTAAAAGTAAGCTACAAACTTCTTCATGAGATACATGTTCAGAAAGTGGCAAGCTTAGCATGTCCTGAGGGTGGACTTTTGGCCCTCTGACATTAAAAACCATCTAGCTGGGGACTTCCCTTGTGGCACAGTGGTTAAGAATCCGCCTGCCAAAGCGGGGGGCACTGGTTTGAGCCCTGGTGTGGGGAGATTCCACATGTCGTGGAGCAACTAAGCCTGTGTGCCACAACTACTGCCTGCACTCTAGAGCCTGTGAGCCACAACTACTGAGCTCACATGCCACAACTACTGAAGCCCATGCACCTAGAGCCCGAGCTCTGCAACAAGAGAAGCCATGGCAACGAGGAGCCCGCGCACCACATCGAAGAGTAGCCCCCGCTCCGCTCGCCGCAACTAGAGAAAGCACGTATGCAGCAACGAAGACCCAACACAGCCAAAAATAAATAAATAAATAAACTAAAAAAAAAGTCACCTAGCTAACACTTGCACATGCCCAGTTGGAGAGTCAGTGGTCTTAGCAGTTTTAACCAACTTGAGCTCAAACTGGACACAGGTGACCCCAATTTCCTAAAAAGCAACTTGGCAAAGATCTTATTGTTTAGGCTATTTGATGCTTGGGAGTACGTACACGTTTTTTTTCAAAGCAAAGTGAGGTTGATCAGTGAAGGCAGGTTACAGTTTATTTTTTATTAATAGCTTATGACTACCCTCGGTTTCAATAGTATTCAAATGTTATGGCAACCCTAGCAGACTAACACAATTCTCATTCAATATTTTCTTGTCACCAAATAAATAAATGAGCTCAACACCCAAAACAATATAGTTAGGCCTAACTATATTTACAACACCACTCCTGCCATCACAGTAAAATCGGCCATGAGAAGATTGAAGGAATTGAAGGACCAGTAGAAACAGCACCATTTGAAATGCTGCTACCCTTTAATAAATGGGTTAATTTTTGTAACAAAATTTAAATGTGTGTGTGTGTGTGTGTGTGTGTGTGTGTAGAGAGAGAGAGACAGAGAGAGTTAGGGGACGCAATAGTTAACAATTCTAAAAAGGCCACAAAACTAAAATTTAGGACATTTAGTTTGGCAGTTCCTATTTTACTTCCACTTCTGTTGATCCTGTTGATTTTTGTTTCCACTTCTGAAAATGACTACTAATACAAGCAAGGGAGCCGTTTTTTATGGGAACCAGCAGAGGCTGAGCTCCTGCTGGTCCACCTGCTTCAGGGGGCTGCAAAACTAACGCTCGGGTTGAACAGTATCAACTCGCTTCGCTGCGGCCCCCAGAAGGCCCCTGGCCGAGAGGCCGCAGTTACAAACCCACGACCAATCAGGGTGAGGAGTTTCCGCGCGTGCGCATCGCGTCGGGGCGGGACTTCCGGCGTCCTTCTTTCGGCGGTCATTTTCGCTTCCTTCTGGTCGGTTCGGCCTCGGAGCCTTGTGTCAGGTTCTAGGTGACGGGGCCGAGAAGGTCCGAGAGGAGGGTCTGTCCCCGCTACTCAGGGGTGCGTCTGAAGCTCGGCGACGCAGCCCGGGGTGCCCTGCGCCAGGCCCGGGAGAGTGACCGCCGTGCCCGCGTCTCGCCTCCTCTCTCGCAGCTCCCGGCCTCGCTCCGCCCAGGGAGTCCGATGGCGGCGGCGGCCCTGAGGGACCCGCCTGAGGTAAACACTCGTCCTCCGACCCCTCACCGCCCTCACTGCACCAGACACTAAAGCCCCGAGTGCGTGACGCCTGCTCACGTGCCCGCAGCCCAGGTCGCGATGTCGAGGACGGTGAGGCGGCCTTGGGTGGCGCGTGGGCGAGGGTGACAGGCGGAGGGACCAGCAGGTGCAAAGGCTTGGAAGTCGGACTGAGCCAGGAGGATTCGGGAAAACTGGGGTGCGTCTTATGACTGCAGTAGAGAGAGTGTGAGGTGGAATCACGCCTGGACCGGCAGAGAGTGAGGTTGTTCCTTTATTCTGAGGGACATGGGAGTCACAGAGGGCTGTGAACGGACGAGGAACAGTGTATGTGAGGGCTTTAAAAGTTTTCAAAAATCTGCTCAGAGAAGAGAACGAACGGATTGGAATGGGGTGACAAAGAGAGGCACAGGGAGTTGAGTCCTCGTCCAAGGTCACAGGATCTGATGAGGGGCAGCAGAGGTTAGTCAGTCAGCCTGAGGTCACTAGGTTCCAGGGCTGGGTGGGGATACAAGGGAGTCCTGCACACACGGAGCCCAGCCATGGTTGCCTTCCTTTTTCGCCCAGGTTCTGAAGGTTGAAGAGGCACTTATGGAACCTATGTAAGGCAGGAGAGGGTGTCCCAGTCCCTCACTGATTCTGGGTGGCTAATACTGAAACAGAGATCAGAAGCAAGGCAGGCAGGGCTTTCCCTGGCTATGGGCTCCCTCAGAGAACTGGGATTGTACCAAATCATGTTTGATTTTGTTAAGCACTCTGTGGATGCCATGTTCCAAGTACCTGGGTGAGTCCAGAGAGGTGCCTGTGATGTGGGGCAGGGAGGTGGTAAAGTTGTGGGAGTGCAACTGTGAGGTCTGAAGATGTGAAAGAGGTTTGGTCAACTGAATGACGTGCACATCAAGGGGAATTGTGAGCTGAGGGCCCACAGGCCCTGGTGTTGGGGATTAAGGGTAAAGATGAGCCCAGGTTTAGCTGTGTCTTGGAGGCACAATGTGGGAGACCTCAGGGGAATTACTTCGGGGGAGGGATGGGGCCCTGTAGGCCAGGCCCAGAGTTTAGATGGCGTTTATCCCCCTGGCCACCGCCTTTTGTGGCTGAGGGCTGAACACAGTGAGGAGAGATCAGGCATCATTGGCACCAGGCCTGACGTGGGGAGCTCTGATGGAGGATGACTATGGAATACATGTGTGAAGAGATGAATTGTGGGTCCTCAGAGAGAGAATGTTTATGTTTCATCTATCTCATTCATGACAGGGTGGTGTGACCTTTGAGGACATTGCCCTGTACTTCTCCTGGGAGGAATGGAAGCTCCTTGATGAGGCTCAGAGACGCCTGTACCATGATGTGATGCTGGAGAACTTTGCACTTATATCTTCACTGGGTAAAAGCCTCACCCTCCCCAGTGACCTGGGCTAGGCTCTGTATCCTCCCTCACCCTCTTTTCTCCAAGGTGTGCTCTGTCCTTCTCACATATGGACCTTGGGCACTGCTTGTTTCCCCAGCTTTCTGGGTAGTTGCTGTGATAGGTAGGGCTGGGTTGTTTGCACTGCCCCCTTCTCTCCCCATAGCCCCAATAGAGTCTGCACTCAACCCTCGTAGGGATGGATTTGAGGTCAGCAGTCTTGCAGTGAGGCTAATACTTGCCCTTTCCCTGGTCAGGTGGTGAGTCCATTTCCTTGGCACTTCTGTGTCCCAGGTTTTCCTTTTTATCATCTGACATTTCGTTTTGCCTCCATATGCTAGGAATTGAAGTTATTGTCATGACCATTACTTACTTGGACCATGGGCTATTTTCCAAGGTTGTCCTTTATGGTTTTACTTGTAGTGTTTAGATCTCTTTTCTTTTTTCTTTTCTCCAGCTTATTGGGGTATAATTGACAAATAATACTGTATATATTTAAAGTGTACAGGGAGTTCCCTGGTGGTCTAGTGGTTAGGATTCAGTGCTTTCACTGCCGTGGCCTGGGTTCAATTCCTGGTAGGAGAACTGAGATCCCACAAGCCGCGCGTTGTGGCCAAAGAATAAAAAAAAAAGGTAAAACATAAAAGTAAGTATACAGTGTCATGATTATATATATACACACACACATTGTGAAATGATTACTACAATCAAGTTAATTAACACATCCAATACCTCACATATTATATTTATATTTCCTGTGTGTGTGAGAACCCTTAAGATCTACTTTCTTAGCACATTTGAAGTATACCATACAGCATTATTAAGTATAGGCTCCATGCTGTATTAGATCCTCAGAGCTTTTTCATCTTATAATTGACCAACATCTCCCCATTTCCCCTAGACCTGAGCCCCTGGCCTTCTACTCTTTGTTGCTATGGGTTCAACTTTTTTGTTTTTTCAAGATTCCATATATAAGTTTTAGCATACAGTATTTATCTTTCTCTGGCTTATTTCACTTTGCATTATGCCCTCCAGGTTCATCAGTGTTGTCACAAATGCATGATTTCCCTTTTTATGGCTGAATAATACCCCACTGCATATAAATACCAGGCTTTATTTACCCACTCATCTGTAGACAGATACAGGCATATTGCAGGTTTTGTTCCAGACCACCGCAGTAAAGTGAGTATCACAGTAAAGCAAGTCACACAGACTTTTGGTTTCCCAGTGCATATGAATGTTATGTTTACATTGTACAGTAGCCTGTTAGTGTGCAGTAGCCTTATGTCTAAATAAACAACGTGTATAACTTAGTTAAAAAATACTTTATTGCTAAAATAATGTTAACCATCATCTGAGTTGTATCTTTTTGCTGATGGAGGTTCCTGCCTTGATTTTGACTAATCAGGGTGCTGACTGATCAAGTTACTGAAGGTTTCAGTGGCTTTGGCAATTTCTTTAAATAATATAACAATGAAGGTTGCCACATTGATGGACTCTTCTTTCATGAATGACTTCTCTGTAGCTTGCGATGCTGTTTGATAGCATTTTAAAACACAGTAGAAGTTCTTTCAAAATTGGAGTCAATCTTCTCAAACCCTACTGTTGTTGCTTTATGAACTAAGTTTATGTAATATTCTCAAGAATTTGTCATCATTTCAACAACCTGCACAACATCTTCACCAGGTGTACATTCCATCTCAAGAAACCACTTTCTTTTCTCATCCATAAGAAACAACTCCTCATCTGTTAAAGTTTTCTCCTGAGATTACAGCAATTCAGCAATCTTCCAGCTCCACTTCTAATTCTCTTGCTTTTTCCACAACATCTGCAGTTACTTCCTCCACTGAAGTCCTGAACCCCTCAAAGTCATCCAGAGAGTTGGAATCAAGTTTTTCCCAACTCCTGTTAATGTTGATATTTTGACCTCTTCCCATGATTCACAGCTGTTCTCAATGGCATCTAGATTGGTGAATCCTTTCCAGAAGGTTTTCAATTTACTTTGCCCTGATCCATTAGAGGAATTACTATCTATGGCAGCTGTAGCCTTATGAAATGTATTTCTTAAGACTTGACAGTGTAAATAAACTAATTGATCCATGGGCTACAGAATGGATGTTGTAGTAGTAGACATGAAAACAACATTAATCTTGTATATCTCCATCAGAGCTCTTGGGTGACCAGCTGCATTGTCAGTGAGCAGTAATATTTTGAAAACAATCCTTTTTTCAGAGCAGTAGGTCTCAACAGTAGTCTTAAAATATTCAGTAAACCATGTTATGAGGAGACGTGCTGACATCCAGGCTTTGTTGTTCCATTTATAGAATATATGCAGAGTAGATTTAGCAGAATTGTTAAGGGCCTAAGATTTTCAGAATGATAAATGAGCATTGGCTTCAACTTCCAGTCACCAGCTTCATTACCCCTAATAAGAGAGTCAGCCTGTCCTTTGAAGCTTTGAAGCCAGGCATTGACTACTCCTCTCTAACTGTGAAAGTCCTAGATGCCATCTTCTTCCAACATAAGACTGTTTCATCTACATTAAACGTGTTTAGTGTAGCCACGTTCATTAATTATCTTAGCTAGATCATCTGGATAACTTTGGTATAGCTTCTACATCAGCACTTGCTGCTTCACCTTGTGCTTTTTTTCACCTTGTACTTTTATTTTCTGGAGACGGCTTCTTTCCTTAAATCTCATGAACCAATCTATGGTAGCTTCAGACGTTTTTTTTTTTTTTTTGCAGCTTCTCACCTCTCTCAGCCATCACAGAATTGGAGAGAGTTAGGGCCTGACTCTGGATTAGGCTTTGGCTTAAGGGAATGTGTGGCTGGCTTGATGTTGAATACAGATCACTAAAACTTTTCCATATCAACAATAAGGCTCTTTTGCTTTCTTATTTGTGTGTTAACTAGAGTAGCACTTTTAATTTACTTCAAGAACTTTTCCTTTGTATTTATTGATACGACTTGGTTAATACTGTTTGGTCCAAGAAGCCTGGCTTTCAGCCTATCTTGGCTTTTGACTTGCCTTCCTCACTAAACTTAATCATTTCCAGCTTTTGATTTAAAGTGAAAGACGTGTGATCCTTCCTTTTACTTGAGCACTTAGAGGCTATTGTAGGGTTATTAATTATCTTAACTTCAATATTGTTACATCTCAGGTAGGAGGGAGGCTTGGGGACAGGGAGAGAGATGGATTGGCCAGTTGGTAGAGCAGCCAGAACACGTATAATGTTTATCTGTTAAGTTTCCTGTCTTATATGGGTACAGTTTGTGGCACCCCGAAACAAAGATCACTGATCACAGATCACCATAACTAATGTAATAATAATGAAAAAGTTTCAAATATCGCAAAAAATACCAAAATGTGA